TAGTGCTCTGGTTGCCAGGCAGCCACCCTCAGGCCCTCTTTTGTTACCGTGGTGATGTTTAGAGAGCTTACCTAAATATTCTTTGAGATAGCATCCGAACTCTCCACATCCCTTTAACACCAACTAGTCATGCCACTTCTTTTTCTTCCTCCCCCACATCTCTACCCACGCTGTCGTAATCTTACAAGTGAGATGAACCTACAAGTGTACCTCCAATGCCCGACGCCTCAGGCGGGGAAATGATGTTGACTTGCCTCCCAGATTCAAACAAACGAAAGGATAGTGAAATGAATGAGAAGATTAAGTACGATTATTCAAATAAAAATAACCGAAATTATAATAAAACAAGGTTTTTCAAATAGAAAATTGATATATTTGGGGGATAATTCAGGATCTGTCCAGCTTTATGTCATGCAAAGGACAGTGGCTGGGTAATCGGTAGTTCTGACTCTCTGTCACTTATCACTGGGAGGTCTTGGTCATGCGAGTTCCCTTTCCTGGGCCTCAATTTCTTCATGTGTAGTAAAAGGGGGTTAAACTATAGCAGCTGTTTTTAAGCTTTTCTGGCCAGAATCTATAGTAAGAAAAACATTTTACATCACAATGTAGTATACACACACACACACACCAACAAATCTAAAACAAATATTTTATGAAACAATCCTTACCCTGATTTTATGTGATGCATTCTGACATTTTCTATTCTATTCTTTTTCATATTTTTAATTGCTGGTTATGACCCAATAAATTGACTTCATGCCCTCATTAATGCCTCTCAATGCAGTTTGAAGAACACTGAACTAGTGGCTATCTAATGGCTCCTACAGTTCTAGTATTTTAAGATTTTATGTTATGCCATTATCTTCTTTTTAGAATAATATTAACAATCACTAGCATTCATTGAACCGATAGTATGTGCCAGACACTGTTTTAAGCACTTTATCCATATGAACTTACTTAATTTTTCAACAACTGTGACTACTTTCATTAGTCCAATTTTAAAGATGAGGAAAATTAATGTGGCTGTTATCTGCACACCAAATTTAGTGACTACCAAAATTAATTTCATGATATATTTAAAGTGTTTCAAATATCTTAGAATATCGCCATTTAATAAAATAAAATATTATCTTGTCTGCTCTTACTACTTTACACTTGGGGGGTGACTATAACAGATCATCCAGATCTGAGGGGAGGAAAACAATCAATAACCTAAATGATACCTATTATTGGCCCTAAAGGTCATTTACTTACTCTATTGTGTAAGTACGCTAAAACTGACACTTATAATGCCACATCAGGGAACATTTATACATAGGCATGATAACTACCCAAGTAGACACCTTAATTCTTAGGGACAGGCACTATCAGCAGATTGTCAGTAGAACAATACGAGAATCCAAATGTGTGCCCATACGTCACTGTACATCTTTATTGTGTGTAGTATTGTAAAACAAAACAAAACAAAACATGGATTCTATTTTTTCCTGATTCCAGTAATTAACTACTGAGCACCACTGCCAGTATTCATCTTTTATGAATTAGCTGGAAGGGCTTAGACTATGATGCTACAACATAAACTTTACCGAGTATATCATTTAGGGGGTCCTGATGGAGCAGATTTGAAAGATTTCGAACCAGTTTTTTTTGGATAAATAATATAGTTGCTATTTAATGTCTCTTGCAGTAAATCCAATAAAAATCCAAAACTTCATTTATTCATTTAACAATTACTATTGAGCCCCTACTATGTGCTACATACTTATTTTTGCACTGGAGAATAAGCAGCAAATATAACAAAGTACCAACACTCAGGGAGCTTAATTATTTTGTGTTTTGTAAGTTCGGATTTGTGTTTATTGTATTTGTTTATAGAGAGGCACGCTTATATGTATTCCCTTTGGTGGAGAGGCAGTGGGAATTACATGTTTCATTTATTTAAAATATTTCAGTGCCTTTTCTACATGGCAGTAAAGAAAGAACTATGCAAAACAAAACAAAACAAAAAAGGAATAAATCGGTTTTTGCTCTTAAAAAGCTTACAGTCTAGTTAAATTAGTGGTTCCTAAGCAGGGGCAATATTGTCCCTCAGGGCACATTTGTCCACGTCTGGAGATATTTTTGGTTGTCATGACTTGAGTGGGGGAGGGATTAGTCCTACAGACATCTGATTGGTAGAGGTCAGGAATGATGCTAAACACCCTCCAGTGTACAAGACATCCCCACTACAAATAATTTTGTGTCCCAAAATGTCAAGAGTGTCCAGGCTGAGAAACCCTGAGTTAGAGGGACAAACTTCATACATTAGAAGTTTTGTGTTTAATTACAAGATATTCGATGATAAATGCTAAATGAGTGATACATACAAGGTGATACTGATGAGAGAGAGAGAGAGATCATTCTAGAATGAATTGGTTATGGGAGTCTTCATGAAGGAAGTGGGGCTCAACCTCCTGCTCAAAGCAGAGGAAAGCCCGCAGAGCCCTGCTACCTCTCTGACTTTATCTCCTATCACTCTCCCCCTCACCCTTCCACTCCAGCCAATGGCTTTTGCATTTCCTGTAAGCATTCTTTTATCTCATGGAATCTGCTTTTGCTGTTCCCTCAGATTCAAAAGTCCTTTCCCAAGATATCCATATACCCACTCCATCACTTCTTGTACGTCTCCACTCTGTTCAGTCTTTTAATAGAGAGCCCTTCCCAAATCATCATACTCCTTGATATAAAATATTAACTCCTGCCCCCTCCACTCCCTTTTCCTTTATTATGTTTTTTGGTCTCCATAGCAAGATTGTACCTGGCCCAGAGCAGATACTCAAGAAATATGTGTAGAATGAATGAATTTGTTAAATATTAATAATGTCAGGGTTTTTCAGCTCAAGCAAATGAGAAGAAGCTTGACTAAAGGAGCGTAACTACTGTGATTCCCAATGGCCTAGAACAGTGCGTGCCTCATAGTAGGGAATTCATAAATAGTTAATAAACAACGATGAAATAGAGAGCAAAAGAAAATTAGTATAATCAAAACAAACCTATAACCATCTTTGAAAAGTATTCTTAGGACAATTACTACACTCTCTCATTTTATTGCGCTTCACTAGTATTCCGTTTTTTACAAATTTGAAGGTTCAAGACTTCAGAGGAGAAAGTAACTTCAGATGTGGCGGAAATAGCAAGAGAACTAGAATTAGAAGTAGAGCCTGAAGATGTGATAGGATTGCTGCAATCTCATGATAAATCTTTCAGAGATGGGGAGTTGCTTCTTATGGATGAGCAAAAGTGGTTTCTTGAGATGGACTCTATGCCTAGTGAAGATGCTGTGAAGACTGTTGAAATGAGAACAAAGGATTTAGGATATTATGTAAACTTAGTTGATAAAGCATGGTTTGACAGGATTGACTCCAATTTGGAAAGAAGTTCCCACTGTGGGTAAAATGCTATCAAACAGCATCTCATGCTACCGAGAAATCATTCATGAAAGGAAGAGTTAATCAATGGGACAAACTTCATCCTTGTCTTATTTTAAGAAGTTGCCATAGCCACCCCAACCTTCAGCATCCATCAACCTGATCAGTCAGCAGCCGTCAACACTGAGGCAACCAGCAAAATGATTAGGACTTGCTGAAAGCCCAGATTACAGTTACCATTTTTAGCAGTATTCTTAAATTAAGGTACGTTCAATGTTCTTTTTAGCCATGATGCTATTGCACACTTAATAGACCACAGTGTAGTATAAACATAACTTTCTATGCATTGGGACACCCCAAAATTCCTTTGACTCGCTTTATGGCCCTATTCACTCTATTGCGGTGGTCTAGAACCAAACCTGAAGGATCTCAGAAGTATGTCTGCATACTAGCACACCTGGGCACATATAACAAATGGCCTATTTTTAATTTGGACTATTCTTTTTTTTTTTTAAAGATTTTATTTATTTTTTAGAGAGCGAGCGAGAGAGAAACAGCATGAGAGGGGAGAGGGTCAGAGGGAGAAGCAGACCCCCTGCTGAGCAAGGAGCCCGATATGGGACTCGATCCGGGACCCCGGGATCATGACCTGAGCCGAAGGCAGACGCTTAACCATCTGAGCCACCCAGGCGCCCTAATTTGGACTATTCTTATCATCTTTTTCACTTTATAGTCATTCCGCATACATTCCTTGTAGTTTAGAAAAGCAGTTTCTGGGCGCCTGGGTGGCTCAGTTGGTTAAGCGTCTGCCTTCGGCTCAGGTCATGATCCCGGGGTCCCGGATCGAGTCCCATATCGGGCTCCTTGCTCAGCAGGGGGTCTGCTTCTCCCTCTGACCCTCCCCCCTCTCATGTGCTCTCTCTTTCTCACTCTCTCTCTCAAATAAATAAATAAAATCTTTAAAAAAAAAAAAAGAAAAGCAGTTTCTGACATTCTGTATCTTCGCTGTTAAGCCAGGTATTGTATAAAACGTAAGCACATTTTAAGAATTCTAACCTAAAGGCAGCTCTCTACCAAGCCAGTTCTATAATTCTGTTTTCGTTTGCACTTAATCACTAATTCACCAACGCTGCACTCAGGGAGTCACTACAGACAATTATGCTAATGCTCATAGCAAGAGCAACTAACGTTTATGGAGGACTTTCTGTGCTAGGGACTTTCCTGAAGGCTTTGCCTACATTACCTGGTTTTGTTCATACTATAGGAGACCTGTGGTATGGCATTCATGTATATTAATGAACTCTAATTTACTTTCTGTAGCCGGCCCAAGGCCCCAACCCCCAAACACCTGAGCCAAGACTACTCGTACCCCGCTTCCAGCCACTTCCTCTTTTCCATTGCCTCTCAGCACTCTCCTTTCTAGAAGAGCCACCAGTGCTCCTCCTCCTCCCTCTTGCGACGTTTTGGGAACCATGGCGACCAACGCTGTCCCTCCCCCTCCTCCTCCCCAGACGACCCGGCTGGCACCAGGTGGGAGGATCTGCTACGTAACCGCGCGTGTGACTGCCTAGTAACAGTGCCTGCGAGTTGGAAGCGCGCCGAGAGATGGGTGGGGCGAGAGAGCTGACGCCGGCACGCGGAACGTCTTTGCAGCCTCGCTTCGGGGGCGGAGCCTTGCCAGTCAGCGGGAGCAGAGTAGCTAGCGATCGTCGCCCAAGCGCGCGGTTTCTTAGTCCTCAGCTTTGGACCGGGCAGCCTAGCTTTGAGGAGTGAAGAGAGTACGCAGTTACCCCACAATGTCTGGTGAGTTAGGTCAGCCTCAGGCCGGCCCCTCACATGCCGGGCTAGATTTTCCGAATCCTGAGAGAAATCGGGCTGGGGTCCCGGGAGGGGTGATCCGAAGGGCCGGTGCCCATGGGCGCAGGTCCTGGATCCAAAAGGTTCTTGAGCAGATAACGGATTCACCTCTGCAGTGGGTCACCCCGTCGGAGGTGGTGCCTGTCGCTGTGCTGGCCGTCCAGAGGTACCTGTTAGAGGATGAGCCACGCGACACGATACCCAAACCTCCCCTTTACTGCTATGATGTGACGATCTCGGACGGGGTGTACCAGGAGAAGTGCTACCTGGACCCCAGCCTGAACTTTCTCGTATATAAAAATATTCTTAAAGTTGGCATAGAAATGAAAATTTCCAGAGTCTCGTGTCTTTACAACGAGAAAAGATTAGGCCAGGGGATCCTGTGCATAGATAACGTCCACTGTGGGGAGACCCTGGAGGCTATTTCTCTAGAAACTCCATTCAGAAATAGTGCGCACGAGGAGGTACCGGAGAGGCCTTTAAGAGGCGGGAAGAGTCATTACCTGGCCCTGTGGAATAACGAAGATCCATATGGAGATATTTGGTTAACCAACAAGCAACCCGAGGAACACAATTTTAACAGTAAGTAATTGGAGGGAATGATGGAGGGGTTAAAAAATAGTTTTCGGGAGCTTGCGTTAATGGGAAAGGAAAGGAGGGTGCATTGGTATTGTTCATTTCAAGCCGCGAGTGGGAATAAACAAATGCTCCTGGATGTCGAATTGGCGCTCCCTTAATGAAATTTGCACAGCCCGTGTCTTGCTTTGATTATTCAAGTGGCCATTCAGGAACTGTCTGAATACATCTCAGATTTAATCTGGCATATATACTTGTGTGTGCGTTTGCCTACGGTGGACTTATCTTTCGTTTCATTCCCATTCCACTTGTGGAAATAGTACTTTCTGTGTTGGTTGGCGAGTGTATAGATTTGAATTTGGCATAAAAGTCGTAAATATTCGTGGTTTTGCATGTTTTAACCTTCATTCCAAAAAGGATGTTCCGTGATTTATTCCTTAATAATTTGCATTAATGAAACGCCATTTTTATGTCTTTGAGTGTAGCAGTTATGTAAATACTGCTTTTTTGAATGTGTGATTTTTGTGGACAGGCTTGGAATTTTCATTTTTATGTTTCTTATTGCGTATCACGGACAATACTGACCTGAGAAGTTTAATTCTTCCGTACCACAAGTAGGAAGTTAGCCTGAAAATGCCTGTTCGTCATCAGCAACTGCTGTAAAACATATTTTATCAGGGATGGAAGGGGAATGATAGTACTATAGGCATGTACGTATATGGAATGGGGACCAAATAAAACGCAAAAAAAATAAAATAAAGGCGAAAGTACTCAAGGAAGAAAGATAATTTTCTACATTTAACGGCTTTTCAGTTTTTTTTCTTTTTACATTGCAGTCATAATATTAGCTCATATATAGTCTTGCTATGACGTGTATCAGCAACAGGCTTGAAAGTGAAAAGACAGAAGGATCAAAAATACGCAATTAAAGTAATATCCAGTTATAAGGGAAAAAAGATGTTATAGAAATGTGTGGACAAGGATGATTTAAATAACTTAAGCTTTAAAAGCAAGATAGTAATTTCAGGGATGAAATAATGGAATGATTTTTATCTCAAGCATGGAATAAGGTGGCACTGCATTACTACTCTTAAGTGTTGATCATTTTTATTTTTACGATTGAATACATAAATGAAAAATTGGTGTCTAGAAGAATTAAGAGGGGAATAATAATTTGTAAAAATATATTTCATTTTTCTGACTATGAAAGTGATATCCATTATTGAACACATATTTTTATTACAAAAGGCAATGTCCATGTGCTAAAAAATCCAAACTATATTTAGAAGTATATTGTTGGCTAGCAAGAAAAAGAGCAATACAGACTGAAAAGCAAACACTTACTGAACACCTAATGGGCAAGATAATATTAAAAGTACTTTATTTGTGTAGACATAAAAAAGTATATTGTATTAAAAATGTAAGACCCAGGTATAGTAAAATTTTGATAACAAAATCTAGAAGGGGGTATATAGGTGTTCTTTCAAGTTTGCTGTATGTTTAAAATTTTCAATAATAAAATGTCGGGGTGGAGTGAAAGACCCCTTTACCTCCTCCTCCTATGCCTTCAACTTTCCTCTCAAAACTCCAAAGGTTCAGCAGTTTGGTGTGTATCACTGAAAAAAAAAAAAAAATTCTGTGGCGTGGCATGATTTGTTGTTTACACTTATCTCAAGCATCTTTAATGTACATCTGCACATACACACTTCCACAGTAGGGGTATACCATAATTTATATAATCATGCTCATGTGAATGGGTAATTATCAATTTTAGGCAGTTACTGGTTTTTCAGGTTTAGATCCAGCACTGAACATCATTAGGATATACACATACTTGTTCTTTATGTTCAGGTATTTCTGTTAAATGGATAGATTCCTAGAAGTGAAATTGCTGGGTTAAAGAATATTTAAATTTTTTAATTTGATGGATATTGATAAATCATCTTCTGAAAAGGTTTTACCAATCTATATTCCCCCTAACATATGGATGAATGCCCATTTCCCCATATTGTGCTAATTTTAAATTATATCTCTTGACTTCTCTGATTTCTTTGCTAATGGGTGGTATTTGCTATATATTGCATATTACATTCTCACACTCTGTCCCCTTTCTTTTAACATTGTTTATGGTGCATTTTTGTGCTTTTTTAAAACTTTTCTATTAAGGTATGATATGTACAAAGTGTTAAAGTCTTAAAAATACAGCTTGAAAATAAAGCTTGAAACCATCCCCACCCCTGCCCCCAGATCAAGATACAGAACATTTTAAGCATCTCAAAAGTCTCCCTAAGGCCCTCTCCTGGTCAATATCCTACTCCAAAGGTAACCAATATGGTGATCTAAAAGACAGCTTTTCAAAATGGAAGTTAGATCTTGCCAATCTCCTGTCTAAATCTCTCCAGTGGCTCCCCATTGCACTTAGACAACAATCCAGACCTCCTATCAGGGTGCGCAAGGCCCTGTGGTGTGGGCAAACTTTCTTTAAATGGCCAGATGGTAAATCTTTTTGCCTTTGTCGGTCATATAGTCTCCAGTCACAGCTATTCAACTTGGCCAGAGTATAGCAAAAGCAGCCATAGGCAATATGTAAATTAATGGGTTTGGCTGTTTTATAGTAGAACTTTATTTACAAAACCTGGCAGCAAGCCAGATTTAGCTCAAGGGCTGTAGTTTACGGACCCCTGCCCTGCCCAGTCCCCTTACTCACCTCTCTAACCCTTCTCCTCCACCATTTTGTTTCCAGAATACAGGCCTTTTTTTTTTTTTTTATCTCAAACCTCCTTGCTCTTTCCTTCCTCTAGTATGTTGCTCCTGCTTTTTTCCTCTTTCTGGAAAGTTCCTTCCCATCTTCAGGTTTCAACTCGAATATATAAAATATGTTAGAAAAAGTTGTTTAAAAGGGCGCCTGGGTGGCTCAGTTGGTTAAGCGACTGCCTTCGGCTCAGGTCATGATCCTGGAGTCCCGGGATTGAGTCCTGCATCGGGCTCCCTGCTTGGCGGGGAGTCTGCTTCTCCCTCTCCGGCTCCCCCCTCTTGTGCTCTCTCTCTCTCTCACTCTCTCTCTCAAATAAATAAATAAAATCTTTAAAAAAAAAAAAAAAAGAAAAGGGTTGTTTAAATATGTATTCCCTCCCCATTTATTGTTATTGCATCACCATGGAAATGCCCTTCATAGGATTGATAACACTCTGAAATTATTTTTTCTGTTGTTTTCTTTTTCCTCCCACTGATATAAGATCCATGAGGGCAAGGAGTCTGTTTTTTTCACCACTGTGAGGCATTTCTCCTATACCCAGAACAGTGTCTGCCATGTGGTAGGCGTTCAGTAAGTGTTTGTTGAATAAAGGAATGCATAAAATAAATTACATTAATGGATTTTCTAATGTTGAACCACTTTTATATCTCTATTTGGTCATGGTTGTTATATTTACATACATATTTAAAGTGAATTTGTTCCATAGATTTTACTTTTTTAGGCGGTTACTATTTCAGCCCAATATTGATATCAGGTTAATTAATATTAGCTAGTAGAATGAGTTGGGAAACTTGCCTGTTTTTCTGTGCTTACAGAAATCATTTGTTCACTGAAGGTTTGGTAGAATTTACCCCTAAAACTATTTGAACCTGGGGCCGTGGTCCAGGATTGGGGGTTGAGAGAATGACTCCTTTTCAGTTTCTCATAGAAAAAGTAATGAAATCAATAACACTTCTTCTTGAGTCCATTTGTGAGAGTTGATATTTTACTAGGAAATCTCATTTCACCTAGATCTCAAAGTTGTATGCAATAGTCTCTATTTTTAAATTTTAGTTTATATTTTTAAAATATTTTAGTCTTGTTTCATCCTCTTTTACATTCCTAGTATTTATGTGTTCACCCTTTTTTATGGTCATCCTTGCCAGAGGCTTGTCTATTAGTATTTAAAAAAAACACTTTTAGCTTTACTAATTAAGTTTATATTGGGGAGATGTTTTCTACTTTATTAACACTATCTTTAATTTCTTGTATTTCCTTTGTTCATATTTTTTTGTACTACCTTCTTAAGTTGAATGCTTGGTTCACTTATTTCCTTATTTCTTTCTTCCAAAAGCTTTTAAAATTCCAAAATTTCCCATGGATACTGCTGTGGCTGCATACACTAGGTTTTGAAGTGTAGAGATTTTATTTTATCAATTTTTACTCATTACTCATATTTTCTGATTTTAAATTTGAGTTCCTCTTTATCCCTCAAAATTTTAGAAAAAGCTTACTTATTATATATGAAGTCTATTATAACAAGTTTTTAAATTATTTTAAAGATTTTATTTATTTATGTTGAGAGAGAGAACTTAAGTGGGGGGTGGGGGAGGATGAGAAGGGGCAGAGGGAGAGGGAGAAGCAGACTCTCCTCTGAGCAGGGAGCCCGATGCGGGACTCGATCCCAGGACCCCAGGATCATGACCTGAGCCAAAGGCAGCCACTAAACCAACTGAGCCACCCGGGCGCCCCTATAACAAGTTTTTAAATTTTAATTAAAGTATTGCAGTTCTTATTTTAAATCGATTTTATTTGCCCATTTCTCTGAGAGGAATATTGGCTTCTCTTTATGACAGTGGTTTTGTTCATTTCTCTTTGTATTTCTAAAAGTTTTTGATTTAAATGTATAATGTATAAAATTTTATAACAGTAATATCTTGTTGGTGGATTTTTAGCCTTTTATCAGTATGGAATTTTTTTGTCCTTTCATGCCTTGCATTCTATTTTGTCTTGATAGTACTACTTACTACTGCTGCTGTCTTTTAGTTGGCATTTTGGGCAGTGGTTCTCAAACATGAATGGGCATCCATATCACTTCAAAAGTGTTTTAAAATGCAGATTTCTGGGCCCCACCACCAGTTTCTGATACAGTAGGTCTGTGGTAGGGCCCTAGAATTTGCATTTCTAAGAAGTTCACTGGTGCTTATGATGCTGGTGGTGCAAAGGCCACATCTGGAGAACTGACCTAGTGTATGTATCTTTGTCCATCCCTTTATTTCTATTTTGTTTTACATTTGTCTTTTTAAAGAAATACATAGCTAAGATTTGGGGGTTTTGACCCAAACCAGTTTCTTTTTCTTTTAAGAGATGGATTTAATCCAATTAAATTTAAAGTCATTAATGATGTTTTTGTACCTGTTCTCGCAGAACTACTTTATGTTTACTATACGGCATGCCTTATTTTTTTTTTTCCTTTTGCAAGATTTAAATTTCTTTTTCTTCTAGTGCTTTAGAAGTTATACATTAATTTGTATTCTCCTAGAGGTTACCCTTAATGTTTCAACAAAATTATTTAAACTTTGATTTTTGTGTCAATCTCCAGAATTATTCACAATTTATAATATCTTCCTCTTGAATAATACAAGGTGTTTAGGACTGTACTTAGTCATGATGCAATTTGGCATTTTGCTATATGGGTTTGAAAGTATTTGATTGAGGATATTTACCATCATAAATGATTTGGATTTATGGGTTTTTTTTTTTTTCCTGTGTACTATTTTTGTCATAATTTTTCAGGATTTATCTATGTTTATAAAATTAATTGTTAGAACCTGGTGCCATTTTTAGAGGTCATTATTTGTGAACTTTTTCACTTTCTTCCATGGATATTGACCTATTCCAGTTTTCTTCTGCTTAAGGCAATATTGATAATTCATATTTTCCTAGAAGATTATTAATTTCACTGATATTTTCAAGTTTAGTGATATATAATCACATATAATCATATTTTTCTCTAGGTTTATAGTTGATCACATTTCAAACATATTTTTGTTTTCTGTCTTCATGGTTGCACTTGTCAGAGGTCTACCTTTTCATTAATTTTTCCAGGAATTGGATTTAACAGTTCTGTGTTTTTCTAATACATTATTTTCAGCTCTTTATTCCTTTTTGCACTCCTTAGATTTATTCTTTTGCAGTGGTTTTCATTGTATGGTTCAAGGACCTCTAGAGATGTCCCCAAGACCTTTTCAAGGGATTCACATCAAAACTATTTTCATAATAATAATACTAAGACTTCATTTACCTTTTATCACTTTAATTCTCTGAAAGTATGTGGTGGAGTCTTCCAGAAGCTACAGGACATGTGACATTGAAACAGACTGAATGCCAAAGAAATATGAGTATCCAGCTGTCTTCTATTAAGCTAGACACTAAAAAGATTTACAAAAATATAAACTAGTGCTCCTCTTCTCACTAGATTTTTTTGTTTTGGAAAATAGAGACATTTTTCAAAAATATATATATATTTATATTATACATAATAGGTTTATTGTTTTTAAGGGAGTTAATGAATAATTTTTTATTTCTTAGTTTTACTTTATAATATGGCAAGTGTTGATAGATATTACCCACATAAATAAAAGCTTTTTGAGGTCTTCAGTAATTTTTAAGAATGTAAAGACTCCTGAGACCAGAAAGTTTGAGAATCACTGTTCCATAACTTGCTATCTAACATTTTATATTGAATATCCAGTTTATTTTCATTCTTTCTTTTGAAAATGAACACATTTTTGTGAATTTATACAGATTCTTCATTGTCTATGTATAGCGTGTAATTTCTTTTTGGATTTGAGAGATATGTATATTCTATGAAGTTTGTGAGTTAAAAACCCAAACTGGGAAAATATTAACCAGGCAGATGTCTGATCAGAGCTAACTCTGTGGACTCAGTTATAGTGGAAGCAGTGGCTTTTAGAACTCTGGTTTTACAAAAGCATATAACTCTTGAATTTATTCTAGTTAGTGAAAGCATGTGTGCCTTCATTGACCAAGAGTGTTCCACGTACATTTCAGATAATTCAGAACTGATCCAAAATTCATCTGACCTAATTAAAAAGGAAATCAGTTATGTCAGAGAAAATATTAGGACCTATGATTCTGAGCTATAAATTTTTTGGAAGAATGTAGAAGGAAAAGTATACAAGATATCTGAAGACTAAAAATAGTATGTTTTTTATGATACAGGTGTAACTACAACATTCCACTTAAATTCTTATTAAAAAGAAATTACAAATATGGTTTTCATACCAAAATGTTGAGTAGGTGATACATTATGTAAATTAAAATAAGTGGGAGATATCTTGTGAAATAAAATACTGGAATAAATACAAATTCAGGTTTTGAAAGTTGGGATTGGACTATGAGAGAGCAAAATGTAGACGGAATTGCAGATGGAACCTCTCTTAACCCAAAGAAGAATAAAATAAAAAATACAAGTTAATCTTTTAAAGATGGTGAATAGCTTTTAAGCAGTTTTTGTATTTGCCAGCAGGCATGGAGATTAAAATTTCAAAGTAAATTGTATGACATATGAGAAGATAAGGAGTACTATGTAGAAAAATAAGACGGGATGAGGCATAAGAAAAGGGATCGCTTTTCAATAGGGTAGTAAGGGATAACACCACTGAGAAAGTGACCTTTGAGCAAAACTTGAAGGAGAGGAGGAGGGAAGTCACTCTGGTATCTAAGAAGACATTCCAGGGGCACCTGGGTGGCTCAGTCGTTAAACGTCTGCCTTCGGCTCAGGTCATGATCCCAGGGTCCTGGGATCAAGCCCTGCATCAGGCTCCCTGCTCAGCAGGAAGCCTGCTTCTCCCTCTCCCACTCCCCCTGCTTGTGTTCCCTCTCTTGCTGTGTGTCTCTCTCTGTCAAATAAATAAATAAATAGATAATCTTAAAAAAAAAAAAAAGAAGACATTCCAGACAGAGGGAACAGCAAGTGCAAAGGCCCTGGTACAGGACTATGCCTGGCATGTTTGGGAAATATAGAACTTACACATATAAAACTACGGTGAGGGCAATACAGAAATACGTCATAAAACAATTCTATAAATTAAACATGTAAGTGCTTGGTAGAGGGAAAATATTCCATGGCATTGAGTTTCTCCCACAAAATTTCTTAAGGGAGATGAGTTTATTGAAGTATAATTAACATACAATGTTATATTGGTTTCAGGTGTACAATATAATGATTTAACTGTACTATACATTTCTCAGTGCTGATCAGAACATGTGTTCTTTTAATCCCCTTTATCTGTTTCACCCATCCCCCCACCCAGGGGGAGATGAGTTTAGATCCAAGCCTTTCAGGAAGTAATTACCCAGTTTGACAAGGCAGAGGGCATTCAAGATGGGATAGTATATTAGTTAATATAGGTTTTTACCTTTGTGCCAGGCACATAGTAAGGCATATTTATGTATTAGCTATTTTTTTTAGAGAAAGAGAATGCATGCGCGTGAGAGGGTTGGAAAGGTGGTAGGCAGAGACAGAGAAAAAGTCTTAAGCAGGTTAAGCAGGCTCTCCACACCCAGCGACCCTGAGATCATGACTTGAGCCGAAATCAAGAGTTGGCCACTTAACTGAGCCACCCAGGCACCCCTATATATTAGCTATTATTATTAAAGATAGCATGTATTATTAAGTTTTGTACGTGAGAAGTATATAGACTGGCCTAGCTGGTGAGTAGAAGTTGCTTTGGGGATGATCTAGCTACCATTTTTAAATTACAATTTTTAAATTACATGACATATTAAGTAGGATTTTTTTTCTATTTTATTTTTTTATTCTAGATACCAAAATAATTTCCCTGTCTCACCTTGAAATGACCTGGGCTAACAGAAGGAATTTTCCTGCATTGCTTGTGAGAATCTTACATAAATCGAAACTGCGATACTATGGAAAACCTGATAAAAAGATGATTGAGCCGTACCAGGTATAAGTAATGACAAGATATTACATGTTAATGTAATAGTTATAGATTATAGCTTATAGACCTGACTCCATATTAGGATAATTTATGTTCAAATAATATTTTATAAGTTTAATTTAATAATTTTTAAAACATACATAAATGTATATTTCAAGGTATTTTTCTATAACTTCTTACACAAAAAGAAATTCTTTCTGTATTGGTACCTTGTAGTTCCCTGATTCAACTGGTCTCCTTCACGCTTTTTTCTGTATCTTCAGCCTTTTCTTCTCTACTGTGCTTTCTACACCAGCATAGAGACATACTCTAGTCTTTCATTTTAAAAAATACAAAAATCTCCTTTGACCTCAGGACTCCTCTATTCCCTCTCTTCTTCTCTTCTGGCAAGCTCCTTGGAGAAGTAGTCTCTGCTAGATGTTTTCACTTTCTTACCTCCCATTTACTTTTCAACACAATTAGTTTGACTTTTTTCTTCAGCTGGTCACTCACTAGAGACCTTCTAATTGTCAAATCTAGCTGATACTTTTCTGTTATCTTGACTCTCTGTGCCACAGAATGTCATTGAGAACTACCTTCTTGATTTCTGTCCTGTTTGGTTTCTTATTTAACATTTTACCATATTTTCACATGTTATCAAGAATTATTTTAAGTGTTTTATTAAGCCTTCATTATAACAGTTATACATACTTTGAGGGAATTTGGGAAATGCAGAAAGCTATATAAATAAAGCTGGTAAGTAATATCACCCCAAATTCTACCAGAGCCACTATTAATATCCAAGTGTTTTATTCCCTTTTTTTGTATGTATATATCATGTCTACATACATACATAACATATATATGCACATATCTCACATCTATGTGTATATGTATGCATATCCTATATTGCATGACTATGTCATATATTAAATTATCTTACAAAATGGAAATCATATTGTACATACAATTTTGTATCACTTAACATTTCCTTAAGTATTTTCTATCACTAAAAATCATAACTTTTCATAGTTACAGATTGTATCATAACTTATTCAGTCATTCCCCTATAGTTTTGCTTTCTTGTTCTTAAAATGAGAATGCCCTGAGATAAAAGTAACAAATATGCATGTGCTATTTCACTCTTTTTTTCTAGACCTTTTTAGAAGTTGCTGACAGTTCAGGCACGGTGTCTGTGATTATGTGGAATGCCCTGTGTCCTGAATGGTATAAAAGTTTGCGGGTTGGTTTAGTTCTTCTGCTTCAGGATTATTCTGTTAAAAAGAGTTACCCATTCAGGATGCAGCCTCTACCGGTGGATCCACAGATCAAACTAATTTCTACAATGGGTTAAGTATTCGATAAATTTACTGTTTTATGGCTATTTTGTTTGTATAAATTTGTAAAGTACCATATCAGCCAAAGGCTCCTAAAAATTGCTGAATCTGTTAGAACGTGGGGAACTTTTAAATTCCTTTATCTATACAAATTTTAAGCAATCACTTAATAAATTATTTATTATTGCATTTATTAAGAAGAAATAGTGTGAGATATTTATTGTTGATTAATGAATGAGCTCCACTTAGGATGTACTTTTTTTGTTCTATTTTTGTATTATAATACGAAATTAATGACTTGAATATACTTTTCTGTTACTGTAAGGTGCTATTCAAAAAGGCTTTTGTCAGCATTTTACTTTGAAATAATTTCAAACTTGGGCGCCTGGGTGGCTCAGTTGGTTGAGCGACTGCTTTCGGCTCAGGTCATGATCCTGGAGTCCCTGGATCGAGTCCCGCATCGGGCTCCCTGCTCGGCAGGGAGTCTGCTTCTCCCTCTG